AGAAAAGAATCGGCTAGTTTTATTTATTCGTTCTGTTTAATGAAATTCATACCCAGGGAAATTAACTTCACTGAAGTTAATCTCACCGAGTTTTAGTTTTTATAAGCTGACAGGATTTTTAGCCATATAAAGTAATATTTATAATTCTATATACTTTAAAATTTAAAATATATATTGGTACATGGTTTAAAAAGTAAAATTAATGTATTGGAATACAATCAAAAATACCCAATAGGGGGAAAAAAAATTTTTCTCTTCTTTTTATTGCTTTTTGAATATTTGTTGTTTAATGGCTTAAATTTTTTTGAATTAAGATTGTTTTTCCCCTTAAGATGTCATATTTTTAAAACTTTACATGCTAGGAAAATTAACGCCTACTTTCTTCTACATGCTTTATTTACACGAAAATATAACATTACGCTGATGAACTTATTTAATTCAGAATAAACTTATTTATAAATCATCTAGATTGATTCTTCATAGAAAATAGGCGTTTCTTTAAAAACAATAGTTCAAAGATCAAAAGTGGAAGGAAAGAATTTTTTTTAAACCTAAAATTTTATTTTTTATATTATAGCCTTATAAGTTCCGTACATCCAAAAGTAAAACTACTTCCATACTTCAAAAATTTAATTTATCCTCCACTAAAATAAAAAGAAAACTGTTTGATTAGAATTTTCAATTAAAAATCCTGTGCTCAATTATACTTTATTTACTTCTAGTAAGTACGCTTACAAATACAATTTTATTCGTTTTGAGGTATGCTACAGGACGTGACACACTATACTTTAACGCTTAACTTACCTAGTTAAGCGTTAAAGTATAGTTTGGGTCGTTGTACCTAGTATTAGTTGGGTCGTTGAACCTAGTGATAGTGATATGGCTGTTCGTTTAACAATCGTTTTAGCAAGGAATAAAAAATCCGGCTCGTCTAGTATTCAATTAAATATTCCGAACTCATTTCCATTGATGGTTTTGCCATTGGTAGGATTGTCTTTACTTTGATTTAATAACAATTTTTAATAAAATTCTTCTTGCCGAAAGACACAAGAATTCTAACCCCAAAATATTTTGAAAAACCTTCCCGGCATCTGTCTATAAATAAGATTGTGATTCAAAGCAGTTTCATTACACGACGACTAAGAACAAACACTTAAAAAAAAAAAAAAAAAAATAAAANAAAAAAAAAAAAAAAAAAAAAAAAAAAAAAAAAAAAAGGAATATCATAGTTTTCTAAATATTTTCGAAAAAATTCCAAACATAAAACTTTAAAAGAAAGAAAGAAAAAAATGCCATTTTGAAGCTGGGGAGTTAATTTCGATGTATGAAATGCCTAACATTATTTCATAAGTAACATATTGCTTTCTGAACAGTTGCAATACCGATGTTTTATTTTATGCTACAAGCTGCTCTTATTTCCCATCAAATTATAAATTCCAAAAAAAATAAAAATATTGTTATTGCAGAGTATTTCAAAACTGGAAATTGCAACGTACATACATCTATTTTAGGATTTTGTACTAAATCTTTTCTCTAAATTTCTTCTTTTAATTCATGATTATCACTTAATTATTGCAAGACTAAGATCTTTTGCAAATCCCGGGAGTACAACATGGCTTCTGAAGTCTATCAAGAAATACATTACAAAAGTGGAAATGATGGGTAATGTCGAAGAACTTGCTTATTCACAAGGTAAATATGATAGTTCCTTAGAAATATTTCAGAAGGCGACTAACGATCGTGATTGAATCACATGATGGAGAGTTGAAAGGACCCTACGGTACTTAAAGGCCTCGAACAACAAAAAAACTATTACTCTACCACGCATTAAAAAATAAATAAATAAAATAAAAAATAAAGAAAGAACACGCCTCCTGGTTGACTTTGAAAAAGTGGCTTGGCAAATCTTTTCTTTATTCTACTGCTAATGCTCTGAATGGTAAAATAGAATTTCAAATAACTATTAAAGTAAGATTTAATTTGAAAATAAACAGTGTTTTATAAAGAGTAGCTTATCATACAAAAATGCCGAATATATAAAAAGCTCAATTTTGAATATTTTTTCACATTCGTTGCTTTTTTTTTCTTTTTTTTTTTTTTGTAATGCAAGACAGAACACCATGCGTACCTGACACTGGTGTAAGCATTGATCATCACGATGGCTCTCCTGATCTCAGGCTCTTTCATTAGATCCCCCTGATCTCGCCTAACTCAGGCTCTTGAGTTAGGTGGATTGACGCTCACACCACATCCACAAACTGTAGTTCCTTGGGGTGCATGATTTTTTTGTTCGTTCCCACTGTCCCTATTTTAGTAAAGAGATAAATCCTTATTTCGGGGTTAATTTATCGGTTAGACTGGAAAAGAGTCTGAGTCACAAACACATTAGCGCTGTAGCTAGCTGCTGAATGTGATTGGTGGACTTTCTGTCAGGATATTTTATAACATCCTCTTGGCCGAGTCACACACAACTATTCAAAGATTGTTATATTTTTTAAAGTTTTAATAACTTATGCTTTTTAGACTTTGTAACATTTAAGAGCTATGACTTCATGATTTCAGTTATAAACGATTGTATGCAGCGTAAGACGTTCACACATTACTGGAAAAGTTTTGACAAGGAAATAGCTTTTACCTTGTCCCAATTCTCCGCAAAGCTTCAACGAAAAAGTAAAGTTGTTTTTATTGTATTTCAGCGGGTTTTGCAAAGTTATGCAATTCGCGGATTGTACTTATTTTTCTTCCTTTTCTTACAGATCCCATTCCAATGCTATGTATATTACTTCGTATTTGAGATTTCATTTGAAGCCTAATAATGTCCTTGGATATAAAGTAGAAAAAAAGATTCTCTCTATTTTTTCCGTTTTTCATTAAGTTTTGCACATTTTTAAAGGAAAACAAATGTTGAATTAGAAACTCTTCAAATCAATAAAAAATAAAAGAAAAATAATTTTAAAAGCTCCAAATTTTATCCCATAGTAATGCTTACATTAACGCGTTTTTTCTAAACTCGGTGAGGTGCTTTCTTCAAATTGAAACTGCAATATTTATCCTTATACAAGAAAGTTAATTTATTTCAATATGTTCAGAAGAAATTTCGAAAAAGTCCATTCACACAGACGTTAAGGGCATAACGAGATCAAATATTAAGTATTCATTAAATTCTGCGAAAATTCATTTAATAATATTTTTTTCTACCAGTTCATATTTAAAACAAAATATCTTATGTTTTTAAAACAGGATTTAATCATCGTGTTCCACTAAATAACATGCATTATTGACTTAGCTCTGCGCTTATGCCGCTTATCATACTTCTCCACTGATTGGAAGATCGCAGTCATTAAACCTATCCTAAAGCCAGGAAAAGACCCAACAAAACCAGAAAGCTATCGACTAATAAGTTTACTCTCCTCACTGAGCAAAATTGCTGAGGACATCATCTTGTGCGGAATGAGAGACTTCTGCGATGATAACCACATTATTATCGACGAGCAATTTGGCTTTCGCCCTAAACATTTCACACAACACCAATTCATCAGGCTCATTGAATACATACACGAAGGATGGCTACACGACAAGCACACAGGTGCCGTCTTTCTCGATTTGGCTAAAGCCCTCGACAAGGTATGGATCGATGCACTTATCTATAAATTAATTAAATACAATTTCCCTAGACCACTTATTCTAATTATACGATCCTACCTAACGCACAGAAAGTTCATGGTCAACTGCAACACCTTTTTCTCAACCTTAAGACCCATTAATAGCGGTGTTCCGCAGGGCAGAAAACTAGGACCCCTCCTATTTTTAATTTTTATTAATAATATCCCTAGAGATCCTGGTATTCTGACTGCACTATACGCTGACGACGCAGCTATTGCCACACAAAGCAAGTATGTCAGTGATATCAACAGGAATATTATTTACCATCTCCTCACCATCATTGACTACTTCCAAAATTGGAATCTTGTCCTCAATATCGACAAAACTCAGGCGGTGCTATTCACCAGAAAAAAGACCTACAAGAAGGATATTATCATTGATAACAACTTCTCTTTCAAATGGGAAACGAACGCCACGTACTTAGGTGTCAATATGGATAAAACCCTGACATTCAAATATCATTTTAAAAACATTAAGAATAAATTCATAGCTGCAAAATGTGCACTTTATCCTATTCTGAAAAAGAACTCTCCCCTCAGCACTAATAACAGGATTCTAATTTATGAAATGTTTCTCACCCCCCCCCCTGTTAACATATGCGCACCCGCCTTTGGGGGGGCTGCAAAGACAAATCTTAAACTCTTACAGAGTGCTTGTAACAAAACGCTCCGCAATATCACAAATTCTCCCTGGTATTTCAGGAAAAAAAATATCTGTAATGACAACTGTACGCCTAGCCTTCTTGACTTATACAAAAATAGTTCTCTTAAGTATTTTCTCAAGAGCACTGGACACTTCAACCCCCTTATTTGGTCTTCCTCTAACTATGACCCAGATGACCCTAAGTGCAGGAGACGGCCTAAGGCCATTCTCCATTAATATAATAATCTCCAAGACACCGTTTGAGTCGTATTGCTGATTTTTCTATCCCCCTGACTGGCTCCTCATCTCCTCTATCATCATTACCCTTTTCCACCTTCGCCCAATCCTTCGCGGAATTACTGCGGCTCATTCTGATTCAAATTACTAATTCAACCACTAACAATGCTAATCACTCACAGCTTATTTGTAAATAATTATAAATAAAAAATAGATAATAATTAATAATAAATAATAATAATTTTTTTTTCATTGTTTATATTATTACCTGTCTGTGTTATCCTTGTTCTTCTTTTCCACAATATTATTTAACTACTAACATTAAGTTTACTAACCCAAATAATTTTAATATCAATGGCCTTTGATTCAGTTTGTAATCATATAATTTACGGAGGTGGCCTTTTTGGCCAGGTACTCCGGTGCACCAATTATTAGTTTCCGCAGTTTCCGCAATCATCACGTCCTGGCTTCGCTTCATCAATCGTGCTAATCTTTCGCCTTTTACTAAATATTATCTTGGAGAGTAGCATCCTGATGACCTTAAGCTAATTTTTCGATTCCTACTATGTGGGAATAAACAATTAATAATAGATTTGTAGCGCAAGTTCTGTCTGATAACTATTTCAATCTATCGCTCGGTCATCCTCTTTGTGTTTGGAGGAACGAGTTGTAGAATGATTGAGTTGAGTTTCATGTGGAAAAGTTGAGAATTTAAAATGAATGGTGTTGGAGATCCGTCTGTGTCATCAATTTCTTTCGCCCACGACCTCCATTCATCTCTTCTCTAAATCTTTACTAGATCGCTCGGGTATCTGAAATCGCATTAAGTTAAAGATCCTCCCACTTTGGCGGACTTGATCTTTAATAATACTTCACGAGAGCTGTTTTCCAGTTTATAAAAACTCACCAAGCATGAAGAGGTATTCGGCTTTGTATAGGCGATAATATAAACATAAGATCAAGTTATATAAATGCAACTAAAAAAAAAAATTCTACCGTGTTATTATTTACTGAAAAAGTGTTACGTTTCGTATTAAATAAAAACTCATTGAGATCAAGTCAACGATTTTTCATAAAAAAATGTTAAGTAGAAAGTTCTTGATAAAAATTAGCTAAATTAATTTTTCAGAACTTTTGGATTACGATTAGGGGACAATTTTGAAATTTGTCTCCAATAAGGGATTAACTACATATGATGGGGTGAATGTTAAAAATGTCAAAATAATTATTGTTTGAACCAATATTCTTTAGTTTATGGGTTATTACAAAGAAAACTATGTTATTAAACCATTAATAATGCTGAAATTATTTGTATACGCTTTTAAAAAGTTTTATTAAAATTTTTTTAATGAGAATTTATTTGACAAATTACATGAAATTTTTATGGTAAAGAAACATCTTTAAATACTTAATTTTTTTCCTCATAATGTTAAATATAATACTTTTAAACATAGGAAATATCAAGAGGTTGTTTTAGTTGTCCTTAAAAAATTATTTTTGTAATGATAATTCAAGATAATTTTAAAGAACAAAAGCGAAGTTTCTTGTTCTCGATTTTTTTCGCGTAATGCTAAATGTAATATTTTTCAATGAAATAAAAAATAAAGAGAATGTTTGTTTACTTTTGATATTTAAAAGTAATAGATAGTAGCTTTTAGCAATACTACCTTACATTACTCTAAAAAACGCATTTAGAATGAGTGAAACTAGCCATAAAAAGCTTGTTTTCAGAATCTTTTCTTTCCACATAAGGAGACGAGGGAGGTGGTGAAGGGAAAGAATAATTACTAGATTCATTGTTTTCTAAAGTCTGATTCGGGAAATGTAAAAGTTTATCATGCCCTCCTTTACAAAAATCGTAGACTATATTAGAGCAGTAGTTTTTATTTCGATGGGTTAGACTTAAATAAAAAATACATAAGTTCGCTTCTTCGACAATATTATATCTTTCTTTTTGAATTTTCTGTTTAAATTTTATGCTATTCGAAAGGTAATGTAATTTTTTTTCACGAAGAGAAATTTTTTTCTTTCTTTATCAGAAGTAAACAAGAATGATTTTAATTTATTCAATCCACTAATGCAACAAATAATCTGATGTAAATTATTTGCATTTTCAAATATTAAACCTCTTTTCAGCAAAAAAACAATAAATTCTGAGCAAGTGGGTATATCTTTAGACGTCAGACACGTTTCAAAAGCTTTTCGCAATACTTGATACAGTTTATTAACTAACACTTTAATCAATAAAGCCTCAGTTAATTCATTGGTTTCCGATATTAATAATTTTAAGGCTCTAATATTTTTACATAAACTATGAATTAAGAAGGGAAGATCCTTTGCTGAATCAAGAATAATATTTTTTCCATTAACAATAAATCATCAATGTGAGAATTAACTATTAATCTTTTGTTTTCGAAAGGATTAATTAATGCATCAAATAATGAAGAATAAGTGTAGTCACCGGTTTGAACTTGCTTTACCTACCCAATCAAAGATTACTGCGAATAAAATAGTTTATCATTTTTCGTTTTTTGATTTTAAATGATTGAAACAAATTGATATTTTAAGCTGAACCAGTTTTCAAGTCTTCCGTTAATTTCGGAAGTTGAATTTCAGAAAGTTTTATGCAACTACTATTGGTACTTTACAAGTGAGTTGAAACATTATCAGCATTAGGGGTGGATTTATGTAAATCAGACAACAACGATTTTCAACAACAACAGCGATCAGTTTATGATGCGTTATTTTAAAGTCATATATTTTCTGTCTCAAGTGTTATTTTCAAAGTAGTGGACAAGTGTTTAGTACATAGATCTATACTCTCTCAATAAAATTTAAAATTCTGCCAAAAAAATAAACTGAACTTCAATTTAAAAAACATCTGTATTTTTTTTAAATGAAATTAGTGTTAAGTTTAAAATCTCCACACCCGAATTAGCCCTGGCAACAATTTTACATTGGCCCCAGTTTGGCTCAAAATTAGCTAATATGGGTCCCGTAAGAACATGTACCGAGGGACCTATATTGAGATGTCTAAATATTTCCATTCTATGACCAATATTACAAAATATAGACACCCCAATATTGGCTTGAAGATTGAGGCAAACGTGTGCAGATGTGAGGCTAGGCTGAAGGAACCCGTTGTGGTCTGATCTGTACTGACTTGCATTGCAATAGCACGAGGAGGTCAATGTCGCAGTCACAATTTGCAAGTCTATAGTTCATGGCGTTCTATACATCAAAGTAGGAATGTTCTTACTTTAGCGGTAAGCATTTCTGTGGAGATAGATATGCTCAATTTTCACCAATGTAGAATAGTTGATGAAGCATTTCAGATCACGCCTGCAATTAGCCCGCCTATGACTGTTACTTTCGATTATAATAAGAGAGTTATTCATAATGATATTAAAAAGAAGGGTAAAATGTATGGATTAATAAATATGGTTGATACACATTTTTATTAACTTCAAATTGTTTCTTTATTATATTATTGCGAAGTATATCCTACAAAAAATGTAACGCCTACTTTTAGTTCCAAACAGTGCTATAAATGAGCTATTAATGTTGATAACAAATAATGCAATCCTTTGCTTTCCGAGTTCAAACGCAGGGTCATAGTTATAGTCATAAAGTTTGAATTGGGATTCTGAAGTCTCAGACTGGTCCTTTTCCCATTCATTTTGAAATATCGGGCTTTGAGGTGAGTCAATAAGATGACGGAACGCTATTATTACGATAGTTGGGGGGGAAATGGCACTTTGCCTTAAAATAATCAAGATGAAATTAATCAGTTTGCAGACTAATAACATTAGATGAAGATTAACAATTGATTAAGAGAGACAAGAAAGCAAGAAAGGCAACCGAGGACGACTATTTACGGATCATATAGAAGGATAAAAGCCGCATCAATCTTTAAGAAGTGTGCAATAGGTCTAACACTAGCATCTTTTTTAAGAAATTCAAATTTAAAAATATTCTTAAAATTTGTAGTTAAGTTATTTATCAAATGTATGTCAATATGTATCAGTATTCATGCCAGTATGTATGTCTATCTGTATCAGTATGTATGTCAGAATGCATGTCAATATTCGTCTGGAGTCTACCAGTATAGTACTACTCCTCGGAATGACGTTTTGAAGAGTAGCAAGTTTTTTCAGCTGGTTGTATGTAGCATTGCACCAGTAATCCCACACGTATGTCATTATTGGTCTTCTCATGGAAACATATAAAAATATTTTAAGAAGTTTTTGTAATATGTCTCCTTGAATAAGTAGATTCTATAATTTAATTACGTCAGAATTTGTCTGAATCTTAAGATGTAGCACGTAGTCCGAGTGTAATGCTTATTTAGAACAAGACCAAGATAAGTAACTTTGCTCACAATTGGCAGACCTGGGATTTTCTACACGTTTTGTAAACATTTATTGCACTGTTACCTGAGTTTATGTATAATGAAGTATTTTTTTTAATTATTTGAACTTGTGTTCGGTTCATAAAAGTTCATATGCAACGCATTTTGTTCTTGTTCCTTTGTGGTGCAGTTTTTAAAGTGATGGCCAAATTACCAAAAATTCTGAAAAATTTGCATTTTTAATGTCTACTACACTATAAAATGTGTTTGAAAATGTGTAATAGTTGTAGATAATATGATGGTTTGATTTAATTAATGTTGAGCTTTGCTAAAGCTCTTAACTGCAATACTGTAAGTTTTAACAATATATTTAAATTTAAAAATCTTAAAGGAGATGCCAGTCTTAGATAGACCTATTACCAACTTCTTCAAGAGTGATGCCGCATTAACCCTACAGCATCATATGTAAGTAGTTGCCTTCATTTGTATATTGTCATCATTTGCATTATTCGTTATTTGTCTCCGTTTTAGGGGCTCAAAGTACTTTTAGGAAAGGTGAAATTTCGAATTTGAAATAATTTCTGATACGTATGTAACTTATTACTTTCAATAATAAAAAAAAGTAATTTAATGGCTAATATTTAAACAATATGTTAATTTTTCAACCAGTACATCACTGATTTAACTACTTTACACTTAAACATTCTATTTAGTGAGCTGTAAGTAATCAATGGATATGAAGGTGAACTGTTTCAAAAAACTGGAGTTCCATCCCCAATGGCGGCTTGAAGCCCACTAGGGACCTTTCCCTGAACTTTTTAGTTTAGAACTTTGATTTACTTTGGACTTTTTAGTTTTATGTAACTACAGATTCGATGAATCGGTTAGAAGCTCTCCCAATCCAATTCCAGCATTTAAATGCTATTCTCGTCGCAGATTATTGCTCCCCCATCTTTGGAGCTTTACAATTTATTCACTCCATATAAAATGGAAACTTAAACAAAGTAAGATGCATCGTTCATAATCGTAACTTCATTTGAGTTTTCTAAATAAAAGTATTAAAAATACTGACTAGAAAAACAAAACTGTGAAAATGTTTGAAAGCTTACAGTGACTTTCCATCTCGGTGCCACTGCTCTCTTCGTCAATTTTCATCGATTCATTTGTGGCTGCAAACTTATAATTTTCATCTCGATCAACATAAGGCGAAGTTTCGCTTATTCC